TTAACGCTCTACGTACTTAATACACGTAAATGCATTTCTTCAAGCTTTTCTTTAGTAATTACTCTAAACTCTAAAGTAATTTTTTTCTCTGATTGAGTGAAAAGAATGGAAGCGTATTCATATATATGGTACCTCTGCAACTCTACAATTGATTTAGTGTCCCGTTTTGAATCTTTTACCACACAAAAATTCTGCATCTCTACATATGGGGACATATATTTCACCCCGCAACAAACGATCTCTATAATATTATTTGAGAAGTCACTTTCTTATGTGTCGCGCTCACGTTTACTTTCACAATGGTTGATTACTATGATACCCCTACTGAATTAAAAAAATACATTTAAATATTATTATTTCTTTTTCAAAATTTTCAAAATAACAATATAAAATAAAAAGGAAACTTTTATAAAGTTTAAAAAAACATTTAAAACGAAAATATAAGTATATAAAAATATGGTTTCATAAAAAAGGAAAGTTCACAAAATAGTAATATATAATTTAAATATATTTTAAATAACATAAAATATAATTTTGAAGTAATAAAATACTTCATCTCTATATCTTCTTAGATGAAAAACAATATTTGTATATAATGTGATTCCATAAAAAAATTTCACACAACTAATCTTGATATTAGAAAAAGAAATATTTTTTTTCTTTAAAAAAATAATTTTAAACAATAATATATATATATATGTATATATTCAAAGTAATTATTTTTTGGTATATATCTATCTATTTTATTAGATGATTACATAAAATAATTAAGTAACATAAACTGATAAATGTTTAATTGATTTTTTTTTTATAATTTGTATTTTTGAAATATATAAATTTTTTTATTTTTAGTATATTTATTTGACTATAATATCTCACAATACAACAAAACATATAAATTATATTTTACTTATATAATATAATTTCTCAAAAACAATAATTTCTTACTGCATATTTTAACAGATATTAAAAACAAAACTAAAATAGATTTTAATAATACATTTTTTCATTAAATAACTAAAATTATTTTAAAATATTATAACACTATATAATTTAACGAAGTACATATAATATATTTTAACTGTTAAAATTATATGTTTTCTTAATAATTCTTTTGATTTTTAATTTCTGTTTTTATGTTTTTAAAACTTAATTTAGCCATAATCAAAATACTTAAGCAAATCAGAATCCTTATTTTAAAAATTATTTAAAATAAATTTCAGTTTTTCCATCCAATCAGTCTAAATATTGTAAATATTGATATGTGTTCATAACCTTCCAAAAATGTATTAGTTACTTATGTATGTAATTTAGAATGAGACAGTTTAATTTTTATTTTTTCCTTTCTAAGCACAAAAAATCTTAAGTTATACATAATCTTACTAGATATAGTTATATTTCTAAGATAAGAACCGGCATAAATTCAAATAAGACAATTAATCAAAAATTTAATATATTTAGGATAAAAAAGATTATAGTTGAATTCAAAGAAACAGATACAATCTAATATATCCAAATGATAACTAAATCAACTGTAAAAACAATAAAATTGACAAAATATAACATATCTAAAATTATACATATAATTAAATTAATATAATATGGTTAATATAAATTATACCTACAAATTCTAAATTAATTTAAAATTTAAAGTAAATATCAATAAATTATTATAATATATTTATTTTATAAATATTTATGTCCGTGCATGAGCACGGGAAAATCACCTAGTATATTGTTAAACCAAAAAAAACAAAAGATATCTTTATGTAATGAAAAGAAGAAAAAGACTACGTTACATATATTTTAATGCGATCCATCTTTTTTCTAATCATTTAACTTCATCGGTCGAAACACAAGACGCAATGTTGACTTCAATGTGTCTGTTGTAAGATATTAAATCCATGTCAATCAGATTAAATGAATCACTCTCTTTATTGTGTAAGAACGATGCAAACTAACTATAGTATAAAACTATAAATCCACACAAACATATCAATCTCCCATCAAGTAAAGCTCCAAACCCCCAAAAAGAGAGGATATACTCATATACATTTGGCTTTTACGTATTAGCTTGAAAGAACACTTTTTGTTTCGATTTTAGTCAACATAAAAAAATAATTTGATAAAAATGTAAAACTACTATATACATAATATTTTTAGATTAAGCAAATAATAACTTGAATGAGATCCTAGGTTGGTTTATAGAATCTATCGGCTTTCTGTTTCGAGAGAGTTAATTCGTTGACGTATAAAATTTAGATGCGTCTTGGAGTTTCTTATATAATGATAAATTATAGAAAGAGATGGATAGATCTACGTGAAGTAATGATATATACTCAACATCGTTTCAGTAATGCGTAACTCTTACGTAAATAAGCACACACGTATAACTTAAAGATTCACATGTTCCCATGCATAATCATAGAGGCGAGATGGCTGATTGCATCAACGGCGGCAACAACAACAACTCGCAGCGGCAGCAACCATGGTCATCATTTGTCGGGTTGAAGGATGTGACGCTGTTCTTTGCTTTCTTGACCCTAACCACATTGTTGTCCCTAGCGGTCTACAATTCCGAATCCAGCGTCCAACAGCTTTTCAATTTACCAGCTTTTGCGTCTACACCGATCCCAACACAATCAGCTTCTTACAAAACCAATACCGTTAGTAATGTTTTCATTTACACACTGATTGGAACCAAAACAACTCTTTATGAAGAAGTTGGGCTCTATTCTTAAGCTGAGAAAAAAATTATCTTTTTTCTAAAGTAGTATGAGTCACTACACTGTATTAATATAAAAAAAACATTGTTTTTAATGTTTTTTAAAAATGTTTTAGATTTCATTGTTTTTCATTTTGCTAGAGTATGGCGAAAGATGTGGGAGCTTTGGAGAGAGTCTTGCTGGAAGCAGCGACAAAGGAGAAAACGGTGATACTAACGACCTTAAACCGGGCTTGGGCTGAGCCTAACTCGACGTTCGATTTGTTTCTGGAGGGTTTTCACGTCGGAGTAGGAACTAAGCGATTTCTCCACCACCTTGTAGTGATTTGTATGGACGAGGAAGCTTACTCAAGGTGCTTGAAGATCCATCCCCGCCGTTGCTATTTACTGAAAACCCTAGGCATTGATTTTTCCGGCCAGAAGAACTTCATGACACCAGACTATCTCAAGATGATGTGGCGCCGTCTAGAGTTCTTGGGTTCTATCTTGGAGCTTGGATATAACTTCCTTTTCACGGTATCTATCTCTGGCTCATCTTTATGACCTAGAAGAGACACTAGTGATAATTATTACAACAATCAACTATGAAAAAATCAAGCAAGTCCTAGTAGAGACGGATCATTCATGTTATGACTGATTATATAGATTGTTACTAACTTTGAGAACATTTTTAAATTATGTACTATTATTATCGTTAGTAACCCTTATTAATTTCTCATAAAATTAAGTTCAAAGTTTTAAATTTGTACGATCTGATCATTGTCTCTGACTATTTGGTTTTTAAAATTATCAGCATTTCATACTTTATAATGTATTTTTCTTTATACGTTTAATAATTGACGAACAGGACATGGATATAATGTGGCTCCGAGATCCATTCCCTCACCTATTCTCGGAAGTAGATTTCCAGATCGCATGCGACCACTACAACGGAAACTCTAACAGCACAAGAAACCCTGTCAATGGCGGTTTCAAGTTCGTTCAGGCCAACCCTCGAACGGTTATGTTCTACAAATACTGGTACGAGTCAAGGTGGACATTCTGCGGTAAGAACGAGCAAGACGTGTTCAACATCATCAAACACGATCGGTTTGTCACAAAAGAACTCGGCCTCACGATGCGGTTTCTTGACACGGTTTACTTCCGAGGGTTCTGCCAACTGCACGGCGAGATGGAAAAGATATGCACCATGCATGCTAACTGTTGTTTGGGATTACATAACAAGATTAATGATTTGAGGCAAGTTCTTCAGGACTGGAGAGGTTACTTGTCAACAACCGACCACCAGAACATGACGTGGCGATCACCAGATAGGTGCCGGGGAAGCATGTCTAATATATCATTAATAGTTTAGATGCTAAGACGAGATATAAATCAACCAGACCGATTATGGTAAATAACTTGATAAATTTAAAACTTATTTATGCGTAACTTTATTTTCATTGAAAGAAAAAGACTCACTACTATAGAAGTAGTAGTCCAAGTCATTATCCCAAACAAATTTACTTACACTAAATAATAATAATTTGGCTATACAAAATATGAATATGTGCTTTTTAGGGTTTCTTGGACAAATCAACACATCTTAAAACTGTCAACTCTGAAATCAGAAAGAAGCAGAAAGGATATGTTTATATACACAAACCATACCTTCTTTTACGTACCCGCAATGATAAACTGACAGATTACTTGTGGTGATTGGCGGCTTGAGCTTTTGTCTGGACGGCAGAGGAGGACATGGTACGGAGACGTCTAGCTATCTCTGGGAAGGAAGGTCGAACAAATGGGTCAGGAGCCCAACACTGCTCCATCAGCATCCTCCATTCTGGATCACAGTAGCTTGGCACTGTTGGTCTCAGTGAATTGTTCACTATCCCTCCTAAAATTTTTATTCGCACAAGCAATAAACTGGTAAGATATTCAGACTACCAAAATACATAAGCTTGATTGCATTTCCACACACTGTAAAGCAGGAACTGAATGTACTGTGTGATTGTACAAAACCTTTGTTGGTAAGATAGGAAGTGGAGAGTGAATAAGAAAAGAGAGTTTAATTTACCGATTATTGCACCGTAATGCATATTGGCGTAGGGTTCCTCACCGGTAAGAATTTCCCACAAGACTATTCCGAAAGAGAATACATCGACCTGTATGAAAATAAGTATCCACGACGAAACATTACTTGCAAACTCATTTAAAAGGCGTTGAAACTATATATACAGAACTAATCTGAGAGCATTGGGTTTCATACCTTTTCAGAAACTTTGCTGCTGCTACCACTAAGTAGCTCAGGAGCCATCCAAGGGAGGGTTCCCCTTACACCGCCGCTAACCAAAGTGTTTCTTTTTATTTTTGACAGACCAAAATCACCGACCTGCATAAACCAACATCTCTCTGTCACATAAGCAAAACATTATGACAGTGTTGCATAATCATATTCTCTAACTGTCCTGGAAATCACCTTGCATATAGGACGGGCGGGATCCTTCAAGTTGACAAGCAAGTTGTCACACTTCAAATCGAAATGAACTATGTTCTTTGAGTGCAAATATTCCATCCCAAAAGCTGCATCCATTGCAATGATAAGTCGCTTACGTCGATCAATCTGCCTGTAATTCACCAGATGTTAACTGGATACAGGTAAAGTTGTTCTTAGAAAGCAATGATCTCCGACGAGGTCTATAAGTAATTACCTGTTCCTGAGCAGAACATGTCTAAGCGATCCATTGACCATGTACTCTGTCACTGTAGCTAAAGTTCCTCCTGGTCCATCTTTCACTACGCCGTAAAATGCCATAACATTTGGATGATGTAGCTTGGAAAGAATTTCAGCTTCATGCCAAAACTCCGAGGTCTGAAATTTTCATTCAGTAGTTGGTGAAAATTGAAAAGCAGTTAAACTAATGCAGCTTTCTCGAAAGTAAGAATCGTTTTTTCTGCACTGAGAGCAATGTCTAGCAGGAATCTACAGGGAATGCCAACTTATTTCTCATTACAAGCATCTAAAAGCCACTAAAAGAAAAACGAACAACAAAAAGCTGTGTTCTGGGGTCAGATAGTACTAGTGTCCTCTAGCAGTACTCTATTCAGTGGAAATGTACTAATAAATCTCATACTCCCCCCAACTCCTGGATAAAGAAAACTCACCAATCTATCTTGTTCAGATGAACGACCAATAAAACAGCTCCTTTTAATTCGCTTGATAGCAACATCTGTACCCCTCCATTTTCCATGATATACAGTTCCAAAGGTACCAGAACCTAGTTCCTTCAATTCTTCCAAGTCGTCATTTTTAATGACCTGACACAGAAACAAAATGGATACAATCATCCGTCAGAAAACCGGGAGCAAGATCGACAATAGATTTATAAAAGCTCCAATGACTTCAGCTGTCAATGGGAACATGAACTACTCAGTCTAGTCTATAAGCAGCGTACACCAGGGGTTCTATAAAATTACATAAACAAAACAGACAAATACCAAAAACAGAAAAGTCAAATAAAAACTATGTATTGGAAAGTCATAACTTGGTTGATACAATACTAAGATCCTTTTAATACTTAGAGGTTGAACTGCTAAAGAGGTTTTCCTTCGTTGTATGAAGGCCATCTTCTAAAACCACCCTAACAATTATGCAGGACCACTGCTGTGATGCTATCTAGTTTTTAAAAGAAGGAGGAACTGACAAATGCGTACCTGCAGAGACCTGCTGGCACTGTCCTCAGCAACAAGGTCAACAAGAGGAACTCCAGTATTCTGCATATCAAAGTATAGAGAAATTAGAAAGTATCAGTTGGAACATGTATTTTGCCAGAAGTGAAAACTTATTAGAATCTTCATAGCTAGGTTGAAAACGTACCACTTTTGCATCTGTGCTTTCAGCACCTTTGAACACTGACGGACCGTAATCTCCTTGTGTGTCTACTGTGCTCGAATCAGCTACGGCAGTGGTAGAGACATCCGGCTGAATATTCCCATCAAAGTGGATTTGTGGATTTAACTGAGTTGGAGCAACTTTCTCAGACTGCAATGGTGGGTAGCTATAATCAAAAGGAACTCCATCCGTGTTGGTCAGGGAAGTGGGAAATCCAGGGTGGTCCTGATCCATAAGGGATATATCCTTCCTCTCAAACTCACCCTGCGCCAAATTTCGAAAATAGGACCAAGTTTTAGGGTCATGATTCTGAACATTTAAACTCACTCCAGCTCCATCAGCATGCAATGGCCTTAATCCAGGGAAGTTTAGAGACTCTTTCAATATATCAGCAAGAAAATCACGAGGAAATCTATCATTTATATCAACAACTATATCCCCGTTCTCAATATGGCCTCGCGGAACAGCCTTAACGGAAGTCTCTGACTGACTTACATGCTCCGGGGCATTAGGTTCCATGTTTCTTTTTTCAAACTGTGAGATACTACCGTCGGCTGTCCAGAGGCTGTCAGGAGCTGGTCTTACTGGTGCGCTAGAATGAACATTTTGAGACTCCATCTTTGCTTCATGAAAAGTTTCAGCTGTTTCGATGATAGGCAGGAATGCATCTGAAGCTGATTTAGGCATTACAACTTGAGAACCAAGAGAATCATCAGATTTAGGCAGACCTTGAGTTTCTGTTGTATCTCGTAGAGTGCGCTCAGAAGGAAAATCCCTTGGATGAATCACAGGCTGGTCAACATTAGTCACATTAGACGAAACAACATCTGAAGTAACAAGGCCAGATGCAGAGGATCCTTCAGGCAGACAACATTGATTGTCCTGATTGATTTTTATGCCTTCACTTGCTGTATCTAAGACAGCCATTTTCGGAACATATTCCTGGGATGTTTTAAAACTTCTTTCTGGGCAAACAAAGGAACTTGGATCTGGTGTCGAATTGGATATTTGCTTGAAAATAAGAGCTTCTTCCTTGGGGGTGTGATCTGGGACCATAGAATCACCAGATACAGAGGAGAGGGAAGACTCACCGACCCTTATGGTAGAGTGTTCTTTCCTCATCTTTAACTCCTTTGCAGAAGGATTGTTCTCAACATGGTCCTGGGATTTTATATGACTTTTCTCTGGACAGGCTGAGGAATTTGGATATGGTATTGAATTGGATGTTTGTGCAGCAACTGGAGCTTCTTCCTTCAGGACGTGATCTGGGACTTTCGGATCACCAGACATAGAGGAAACAGAATACTCATTGACCCTTGGAGTTGAGGATTCTCTCCTTATCTTCGACTCATTTTCTGAAAGATTGGTCTCGACAGTAGATGCATTATCAGGACCATTTACCTTCTTAAATGAGTCATCTCTTCTCATTTTGGTCTCTTTTGATGAAGCTTCTGGATCTTGTACATGAAAGACTCCTTGCACAGGTTTACGTGGATAGTGAGGCACCACACTTTCAAGAGGTGTTTCAGGATTCACAGAATAAGGAATATATTGAGGCTGCGGTTGAACATGCAAAGGAACAGAGCCCTTCTCATCTACATAGCCTATGTTTGCCGTGTGAGCTGACGTGTAAACTTGGTGGTTACCAAGTCCTGTGAAGTGTAATTGCTGTTCTAGATAAGGCTGTGAAAATGGCTCACTTCCAGTAGAAAAAACTGTTATAGGTTGAGAAATCTGGCTCGCCGGTAAAGATTCACTACCTGCCAAAGGAGCAACTGAAGCTACGGCAGGTTCTGTGGCAGCTCGACTGATCTCCCTATCAGCATTCCTGTGAAGTAGTTCATCCAAATTGTTCCCTGGAGCACTTATTCCGAGGGAACTTTTTCGTGAACTTAGATCCATCCCATTGACAGCAACAACATACTGAACCTCCGAATCACTCTCTGCAGCTTCCATACCAAACTGACCCTCCCCTAAGTCACTGCTCGAAAGCAAGAACATCCTGGGCTTCTCAGATCCTCCAATACTAAACACATTACATTCCTCCATCATATTTTGTAAATCCTCATCAGAAGATACAGAGACTAGGGCATCGAGATCCTCGCCTGGCAGCTGATATTTTATGGTACGTGCTTCAGGGAACATCTCTACCATTTTTTGCATGAGTTCTTGGAATGAAATAGTCTTGCTAATCCGTATGATACGCGTTTCACCGCCTACATATCTAAGTTTCTGATCTCTGGGGCGGGGTATGATTCGACCACCAAAACTACACAAGAACTTTGCCTGGTCCAAAGAGCTGTCAGAAGCTCTAGAAGAAACCAGACTATTAAGCCTTTGACCAGTATCGTTTCTTGAAAGAATAACCGGAGCTGACAGGACCCGCTCATGATAGTTCTTATTTTCAATTCTAGAAGGGGGTTTCGTCTCTTGCTCCAAGGCATGGCGCTGTTCTACCGTGTTGGGCACTGTGGTGTTAGAGCCACTCTCCGACATGGGAAGAACCTTCCCCACAGCGCTTAAGTTAACAGGACGAGGCACACCAGTGACCTCACCACCATACACATTAGGGATGTATTGCGGTCTCATAACGACCCTATCTCTCATAAACTCAAAAGCAAACTCTTCCCCAGTCTGTATCGAGTAGTTCACTGGCCGAGCAGGGGTCAAAACAGCATAATCTGGAGGTCGTACATTAGTATCAACACTAGTCGAAGAATCACGGGAAAACCTTTCGTTCATGGAGCCAATTCCTTCATCTCTAGGGTCAGGGGCAGCATACCGAACGTGTTCATAACCATTTGCTTGGTCCATGTTCTGTTTGTCAAGATGCCTATCCATCTAGCTCAAAGCAGACACTTGAGAGGAGACATATCATGATCATATCCCCAAGTCAAATCTTTGCATATGTATCCTTTGTAATTATCCAACGCTTTGGCAGAAGAACTCAAACTCTCAATGAAGTTCCTGAAATTGGAGAAAACTACTTTTACTAAAGAATCATTAAACATATTCAGAAAACTAAACAAGCAGTGTAAGATACATGTTTAAACTCAGGACTGAAAGAAAACTATAATATTCCCTTAGATCGCCTCATCAATTTCGGTAAACAATAAAAAGCACTCGTGACAGATCATCCCTAGCGAATCTAGCCATCAAAGTAGGTTTAATCTCTATAGTTTCCAACAATTCAATTCACAAGAGCGAATCCAATATCATCGTCTACAAAAAACCACGATCAAGTATCGATCAACTTCAGAACGAACCGCATCAATTGATATAAGAACTAATCAATTCAAGTCTAAGAAATAGCTGGATTCCCTAATCTTAAACCTAAATTCCAAACCTAAAATGAATAAGAGAAGCCGATCAAGTAACAAAACCACTGAGACTCCGAATAATGCAAGATCTGAGAATCTAACAGAATATACACCCGAAATTCAAATCGGATCCAGATATTTTTCAACGAACAAAGGATCAGAAACAGCAGAAACGTGTAGACGAAATCGAGAAGGTTTTTTGTTTACCAGAGACTGAGGGTTTGACGATCGATGAGTTGGAGGAGAAGATGAGTCCTTCTTCTCTAATTTTGGACATTCCAAGTTTTTATTCTCCGAAATAAAATATTGTGCGGACTGCCAATAATCTAATTATCTATCTGTAAACTTATTATATACGCTAATCCATTTTTAACTTAAAATATCAGTGACGCCAAAAAAAAGAGAGAGTTTTTTGTGCAGTTTAAATCAGATAAATGAACGTAAGAAGCTTACGTAATCTCCCTATTAGTTAACTCTAGTCGAATAAATCTTTTTTTATTTCTTACTAATTGGTGTACACTTTACAAGAAAAAGAATTTTGGTTTCTACTTGAAATTTTCGTAAGTTATTTTGGGGGAAATATCAAATTAATATTTTTTGTAATATTCGAGGCGAGATTACAGGTACAATCTAACTGTCACATGCCATAATAATAAATTAAATATTCCCACCTGAACACGAATAAAATATCAGATTTTTCCACTTTAATTTTTTATATTATTTTCACAAAATAACCGTAAAATAATAAAATAACCTAAACACTTAACTTCACTGTTTACAAAATCAAAACACAGTTATGCTCAGCTCCTCTGCCACTGCCACCGTCACCAGTCACCACCACCACCTTCGTCCGAGTTTACTTGCGGTCCGAGCTATATCGGAGTCATAGACATCTCCAAGGAGTCAGATGCAATCCTCAAGAGCCTCTGGTGGGTTTTTGTTTCGCTTCAAGGATTGCATGTTCTGTACAATAGGTTGTGGTTTTAACTTTTAACATAAAGTGGGCGTAATATGAATCAGGATAGAAGCAAGCTTTGATATCTTTATCTCACAAGAACGGTTTGGCTACCTTGGCAATGGTCTACAAGAGTTGGGGTATGTCTTTCTTCACAGCATGTTAGGGTATATGGGTTGCCAAAAGTTTTGATTTTTTACTTGCCTCCATGTACAGAAAGTTATGAATTAAAAGAATTATTTAAACATATTAACTGGAATTATAAATAAATTTGATTAAAAAAGGTATGACAGACAAATTAACATTTTATTGTGTGAATGAAACATTCAAAAACGATAGTGAAATGGAAGTAGTAGTTTTTATCACTTGTAAAGCTTTTCCATGAGGTCCTTCAGCTTCGTAACATCTGCCCCCACCATCTCGCCTTTTTTCGAGCCTTCTTTAAAGAAATGCAGTGTTGGCTGCATCATAAAATGTTCAGAAGACATATCAAAACTGCTTGTATACGTACATATACGTGTCCTGCTAATGTTAGGTTGTTTTTAGAAGGAAAGGTTTAAATGAAGCTCTTACCACAGCCGTGATACTCAGCTTGCTGAGAGTGTTTGAAAGTTCACCCTACAGATATAGTGATATCTTTGTTAGTGCAGTTTAAAGTTGACATTCATGGGAAGTGAAGATTGTACAAAAGAGCAGAAATGAAGCTCAAATAATTTTCTCGCTAACTCAATTGCAAACAGGGTGAGTGTATATATATATAGCAATGACGAACACATTATGGTACTCTCAGGTTCTATGAATAATTTGATGATCCTTTGATTCAAGCTCAGAACATCTATAGAACGTTAGAAGTCACTGAAACCCAATTAAAAATAGACATACCTCATCAATGTCGATCTTATACGTTGTTACATCGGGATACTGTTTACTAAGCTCCTCTATAACTGGAGCAATAAACCTGCCTGGAAAGTCAACCAAGGAACATTAATTGAGAAACCTACTCGCAAGAAAACATCAAAACTAAACTTTCTGAAGAAACAACATACATGGTCCACACCAGGTGGCAGTGAAGTAGAAGACCGACGGTGAAGATCCACCTGAGAGAGAATACAGATAACATTAAGAAACAATATTAAGCAGCTTCAACATATGGCACGATGTCATTACCTTCAGCTTTGGCCATTGCATTGTTGAACTCTTCCTCTGATTTCACCATAACAACACCATTTCCACCTATAAATCAAAATTGCTAGATTATATACTCTGATGCGAATTTCAAATTAAACACAGTGGAACCAATTGAGTGATTACCTCCTCCAGCTGATGAACAGAGGCTTCTCCGGGTGGGGAAAAATGTGCTGGAGAAGTTAGATTCGATGGACGAGGCGAAGGTGGAGGTAGGTAACAGCGAGTTTCTAGGGAACTGTGACGGTATCGAGTTTGGGGCCACGATAAGCGATCGGGCGGCGGAAGTGGACAACGCGGAGGATCGCGACGAGCGGAGTGTGGATAAACGGCGTTGGAAGACCTGACGGACGATCGGGAAGCTTCCTTTCATCTTCTTCTTCTTCTCCGGTTAATTGAGGAAAGCTCGAGGTCTTTTTTTGATGATTTAGGGTTTCTCGAAATCTGATTGTTAAGGTTTTTGTAAATTTGGTGGATTTGCAAAATGATCCACGTAAAAGTGAAGGACTTCTAAATCAGCCCCAAATAAAAGAATGTTATTGTGTCTTAATGTTCAAACGACTTCGTCAAATAATTTTTATGAAAAAGAGAAAATATTGTCAGAAGTGGGATTTGAACCCACGCCCTCTTTCGAAGACCAGAACTTGAGTCTGGCGCCTTAGACCACTCGGCCATCCTGACATGTTTGAACTATTCAATTTTAGATTGTATATATATTCATGTTGTTGTGCTAAGCTAGTACAAATTGAACTCCTTTCACTTCAGCCCAATTACAAAGAATATCAAATCTTTAACATGAGAATATATAGCTTAACTCCCAAGGACCAGTGATCTCAGACTTATACTCTTGCAAAGACATGGAGCCTAAAAGAGAGACGTGAAGCAACAAACACATATGCTACCTCGATCCTGAGTAAGTTTTTTTTTCACATACAAACACACGTTTCTATCTGAAAAACAGATCCAAGATATCAATGACAATGTCCAGACACTCATGAACCGCATTAGGGACAGATTTGTTGGGGGTGAGTGAAGATGTTTGATGTTTTTCCCTTTTTTTCAGATCTTACAAATAAGACTTATTTCTAAGATATGTTCAGACTTATGTTTTATGTTCACAATTAAGGTTTTTTGCTAAATACTAATGATTCCAATAAGGTGGAACGGTTTACAGATATTTCCATAGGTACCATTAAGGATGATAATTTTTCATCTGCAGTAGGCCTGATGGATATTAAACCAGAGAATTTAATTGACTTCTGCCTAATGATAAAATTATGCAGAAATAATGATACGATGCAATATTTTAGGCAAGAAACAAGTAGATGAGCTTCAAATAGCAGATATCTAATTAAAAGCTTATATAGCAAGTCAACCAAGAGATAATGTTTGGAAAACATTTGATGTTTCGAAAGTTTAATTACCGGAGTCAATTGGAGGGATATGGGTTTTTACTTGCTTTTTCTACTAACTTTTGTCATGTTGTGTGATACAACAAACCCTTACTTTACACAACAACACCCTCTCTCTCAGTATATATTTGGGTCTCCGTCACTTCAACATACATTCTCTCCCCTTCTCCAAACACTGAAAAACTCTAGACATATTTTGGGTCTGTCGCCGTTAAAAACACACAGAAGTCTATGAACACCAGAGATTTTTAAAACACAACCAACCAAGTACATACCAGTATGGCAGACCTAGGTATGTCATTTTCGTTCTGTATTTAGCTTAAAGTTTGCATCTTTTGTTCAAAAAAAAAATATTTATGACTGAATTTATATTATTAAAACTGAAGTACATTTTGATAATGTTTGGAAACGTGGATAACAATATAAATGAGAATTGTTTGGAAGCATAGATAGCAACATAAAAAAATTTATTTTTATTTATAAATTTAGCCTTTTCATTTATAATAAATTAAGTATTTTCTTTGTGTATTTTTTTTATTTACAGATTCTGCAAATTGCATTTTAAATATTTAAATAAAATCATTACAATTCAAAATTAATCTAACCAAATCGATATTCATATGTTGACCATTACAAATTTTTAGTATGTTGTTTCATTTTAAAATAAATTAACACAAAAAAACAATATGTTAATATATGGATAGTACAATTACATCAAATTGCATTTGCATTATGTTATAAATTTTTCATATAATATTATGACCAATTATAAAATTTATTATTAAACATTTATTTTATAATATAATATTATGAACAAATATAAAAAGTTATTATTAAACATTTATTTTATAATATAATATATTCTACTTTATAAAAATATACATGCGGTGTTACAAAAAAAAATATATATATATATACATGCGATTTTTAATAAAATCAGCAATTTATTAATTTAGGTTGAACAAATTAAATCAAACACCTACGCAGAGATGCGGGTCAAGTTCTAGTTCAATTTAAAACTTTTGATCAGGATATTTAATCTATTCCTCAATGTAACCGCAGTAAATACATTTACAGCTGCCAAAATTATAAATAGAAAGTTTTTTTTAGATGAGCGACAGCAAGTCTAACAAGTGGGGGAGATTCCATAATTGAATCCACAAGTTGTGGATAGTTTCTACAAACGGACAAAAGAGAGTTTCCATCAGTCCCAAAAGAACAGTCTGAGACGTTTACTCCTTAGTCAAAAATGGAACAGAGTTGGTTGCATAATGCATTTGTCTTACCTCTCTTCCATTAACAAAGCTTTGAAGCACAGTCAATGGATGGTGAGGAGGAGAGAGGGTACTGGAGATGGAGCAAGAAAGATTTCTTTCCCGAAGAATCTTTCCAAAGCTTTACTACTTACAGAGCCGCTCTGTCTCAGACATGTTCAAGGTTCAAGAACAGGTTGGTTAGTAGGTCTGACGATGAGAACGAGCGTGTTGAGCTTAGGAAACAAAGCGAGCACGAGATGAAACGGTGCCTCACATGGTGGGATCTTGTCTGGTTCGGGTTCGGGTCCGTGATCGGAGCTGGAATCTTTGTCTTGACAGGTCAAGAAGCTCGTGAACAAGCGGGACCAGCTATTGTACTGTCCTACGTTGTTTCAGGTTTCTCCGCTATGCTCTCTGTCTTCTGTTACACTGAGTTCTCCGTGGAAGTCCCCGTGGCTGGCGGTTCTTTCGCCTATTTAAGGATCGAGTTAGGCGATTTCGCGGCTTTTATCACTGCCGGAAACATTCTTCTTGAGAGTGTAGTTGGAACCGCAGCTGTTGGTAGAGCCTGGACTTCATATTTCGCCACTCTTCTGAACCGAAACCCGGACGATCTTCGGGTCAAAACCGGGGTCTTTAGCCCCGGTTTTAATCTCTTAGACCCGATAGCCGTCGTGGTTATAGTATCTTCAGCTACACTCGCGTCGATAAGCACCAGAAAGACTTCATTACTCAACTGGATAGCCTCTGGTGTCAACACTATTGTAATACTTTTCGTCATAATAGCCGGTTTTTTACACGCTGAGACCTCGAATCTAACTCCTTTCTTGCCTTATGGACCCGAGGGAGTGTTCCGCGCAGCTGCGGTTGTGTACTTTGCATACACAGGGTTTGACAGCATAGCAACAATGGCTGAAGAGACCAAGAATCCATCAAGAGACATACCGATCGGTTTACTCGGTTCGATGTCGATAATCACGGTTATATACTGTTTGATGGCATTATCTTTGAGCATGATGCAGAAGTACACAGATATAGATCCAAACGCAGCTTACTCTGTAGCGTTCCAGAGCGTTGGAATGAAGTGGGGAAAGTACTTGGTGGCTCTTGGTGCTCTCAAGGGTATGACCACAGTTCTACTAGTAGGAGCATTAGGACAAGCGAGATACGTTACTCATATCGCTCGGACACATATGATTCCACCTCTTTTTGCTTTAGTCCATCCCAAAACCGGAACACCGATAAACGCTAACCTACTTGTAACAATCCCAAGTGCTCTCATTGCTTTGTTTTCAGGTTTAGATGTGTTGGCTAGCCTCTTATCGATAAGTACTCTCTTCATCTTCACAATGATTCCTCTCGCATTACTCGTGAGGAGATACTACGTGAGAGAAGTGACTCCAAGAGCTCATCTTCTTAAGCTTATCATTTGCATCTTGCTCGTTGTTACTTCTTCAATGGGTACTTCAGCTTATTGGGGAATGAAACTCAATGGATCTTGGATAGGTTACACAGTGACTGTTCCTTTATGGTTCTTGGGAACTTTGGGGATCGTCTTCTTTGTTCCTCAGCAAAGAGCTCCTAAAGTTTGGGGTGTACCGTTGGTTCCGTGGATCCCATGCTTATCAATAGCAACGAATATATTTCTCATGGGATCTTTGGAGGCTCAGGCTTTTGTAAGGTTTGGGGTGTGCACTTTAGTTATGTTGTTGTACTATTTTTTGTTTGGTCTTCATGCAACATTTGACATGGCTCATCAGCAAATAGTGCCAAGGTCGTAGAATCAATGTAATTAGTGAAGAAATGTAAGTCTCTTGTTTGAATAAAACCACTCTAATGTTATTCTGCTTTCTCAGTGTTATCTTTGTAACATGCAAATGTATAAACGTAAAAGTTTTCATCTTCTCTGGATACACATAAAGACGAGGACTTTTGATCCAAGAACATGAAACAGTAGCTTAGTTGGTTAGACTTTTAAGAAACAGCATTTATAAAAGTTTAGTGATCACCTTGTTCAAAGGTGCTTTCATAGCTCAGTTGGTTAGAGCACCCGTTTAGTAAGCGGGAGGTCTTGAGTTCAACTCTCAATGAAAGCATCTAATTTTTCATTTTTTTTATATTTACAGGTTTTCTGCATTGCATATAATCAACTTCCATCAATATATTAATGCCTCAAATTTTGTATTCTTGACAAAAATAACTCTTTACCCGTTATACAATATTCCAACCAAGATTCAGTTGTCTTCATTACAGAAGACTAGAGTTCTCATTTTGGTTTGAGTCTTGATGAATGTTTTGGCTATCGAGTGGTATGTACTGAGACATAATAGACACTATCTCTGTGTCCACGTAAGACTGCATACAAAAATGATTATTAGAGTTTGATGAATGATGATGCATAAAGTAGCAAAGTGACATTTACCTGAAGATGGTACTTGTAGAATATATAAGAACTTACGGAGATGCCTGCAATGACGGTTACAACCACAATTGTGAAGAACCATTTGCTTCTTGATCCACTTATTCTCTCTGCATAACCCATTGTGGATGTAAACTTTTGAGAGTTGCTTTGAAAATATCTGAAATAAATAGTTTACATCTTTTTTCAGACATACCGATACAAGTGTCTTGTTCTTTCATATAGAGACCATTGTTGGAACATTTGCATTCATATCCTCCCCAATTGTTCTTGCATTTGCAGTCATCACATTGACAAGCTGATTTGTCTTTGCATTCATCAATGTCTGCTTAC